TTACTTACTACTCTCTCTCTCTCTCTCTCTCTCTCTCTCTCTCTCTCTCAACCTAGAAACCTAGAAGAAACATATCTCTGAACAGATGCACACTTCCTGCAGCTAGTGGCAAGGTCTTTCCGGCTGCCATCTTCCCTCTTCTAAACAAACGGGTTATTTTGGCATTTCCAGAAATGATCTCAGAAAACAAAGGATTGATCAATTTAAACTCCAAAATTGATAACTTCCTAATATTAAAATTTGGTTAACCTGTTTCCCAAGGTACACGTGAATAAATAAAGCAAATTTAGGAATCTTGCCCAAAATTCAATTAGATTTGGACAGATAAATGTGTAAAACTCAAAAGTTGTGCTATATAAATTTTCTGAAATTTAATACCCTAAGCATAGTTGAAATTTAAAAGCCTAAAAATAGTTCAGCTATTCAGAAAAAAAACATAGTTTGTGTAATGTGGGCACCTGAACAAAAGCCTCCATACATTGCTGCACATAACCGTCTTTCTCCTTGGCCATTCTCTCCAATGCCGATAGCAACCTAGTGGTGCAAAAGAAGGGCAGCCATCTCCGGTTATTTTTGCAGAGAAGAGCCACAAATACAAAGGCTTTTCCACGCAAGCCTTCAGTTCCATGTTCGATATGAGAGAGTATAGATGGAACTAGTGATTTCTCCTCTGCTAGTGAGAGAAGATGCCTGCCCATGTTTCCCAACATATGGCTTCCAAACATAGCCATATTCAAAAGGTTTATGCTAATTTGTTGCTCCTTTGGCGTCCCCTTAACCAAGCCAGGCAAGATTTCTTTAAAGGGTAGCTTCTCCACCACTTGTTGAATGCTTGGTGGGTTGAACCGAACCAGGCGGACCAGGCAGGACCCAGCTGTGAGACGCATGCTCTCTTGTTTCCCCGACGCCTTAAATATGTAGCAAAGATTTGCTATAACATCTTGGGTGTTGAATCGAGATGCCCACTCCCCACCTTGACTGCAGATGTTCTCAATTGTTCTCAGTGCGTAAAGCTGAGTCGAATCATCTTCTCCTTTACGGAGAATGGATGACACAAATGCAATCAATGGGCTAGGAACCTAGAGAGAGAGAGAGAGAGAGAGCCCCCTAGGAAACATTAGTCCACATAATAAAGGAAGGAGCAAGCAAGATAGAGGAGAGCCAACCTCACAAAAAGGGGAAATCTCTTAAACATTCTCATTATAAACACAAGCTGTAATTAATTTTATTGCTCGTTTTCTTTATTTAAGAACTACAAAGAAAAAGGTTGTCAAACCATGTTCAGGAAAAAATATTACTTTTCCAGGTTAAAGGACACCACTATTTGTAACTGAAAAACTGTGAGGTGTTTTGGCATTTTGGAAATATGGAGGTATTTTGCTTCATGCAAAGAAATATGGGAAGTTTGACTGCACAAAGTTGACGAGACTCATAAAAGCATAGATGGGTTTACATTTGGTGAGTGTAAGTATTTGTATACTAAGGCCCCTTATATGAAATATTGGGCAGAGGCAGGAGAAGGGGGAAAGTTTTAATTAATGTTAGCCACAAGAAATTCCAGTATTTAAACCCAGCGAAACTATCCAAGCAAAGGGGATTGTTGGGATTCACACTAGATTCATAAGTTGGATATTCATTTAACCACCAACCATAGATTCCTGGTCATATAGATATTAATAGATCTGGCTACTTAATGGAAAGTAGAGCTATAACAGCCCAATAATGCAATTCAAAGATCAAAGACTAAAGAAAACAAACAGGAAGTCAAACTCTAAAATTTGTAGAACAGGATTATAGAAGACAATAAAGAAGATCCCAAAATGGTCAAAGCCCACAAGAAGCCACTTATAATTATGCAGGTATCAATAACAAGGATGAGAGCACTCCAGTATGATGTTCAGTCAAATGGTTGGAGTTGATTGGCAGTTCAAACTGGAGATGAGTTTATCTTTCCAGAATCAAGGACAGCAGCATTGAAGATCGACTTACAGATATGCAAAAAAGGAAGCGAACATGGACTCTTTTCCTACTTTAGACCACCTAATAAGCAATATTTATAGTCCCCCTTTGTTTTTGATAAAGTTTTCTTTATGTGCATGAGTCATCTTCACAAGTAAAAGAAAAAGGGAATATAATAATAAGGAAATATATATAACAAGACCATTTACTTTCGATACAAGGAGGCCACAATTATTATTGCCCATTAGATGTGAAATCAAGTGGTTGGGGATACGTCATTGATTGTGCACAAGTCCAACATAAAATTTCTCAAATATTGTGACACATTTCAATGTCAGATTTCACATCCAATGGCTAAGAATAATTATGACGGGTCTAAGAAGGGTGAGGACATTAAACTTTCCCTCAACCCGTCTCAATCCCCGGTAAAGGCGGTGGGTTGTGTTAGGTAGTAGCCAACGTAAAACTTTGCCAAAACTTCTCATGAATCCAGAATTGCAGATCAAGATTCGTGTAGCCGATTCCAATTAATTGGGAAAAAACTTTGATGATGATAATGGCTAAGAATAATTATGACATATTTATACCAAAAATAAATGGTCACATAGTATACAAACCCTAAAAGTGATCTCTTAAAATTATGGAAAAGCCATTGTGCATTGGGGCATCACCATTCGATAAACTGGATAGTGATGGAGAGAGAGGGACCACCGAAAGTGACCCTAATGGCGGGTACCATTCCCTTGCCATTGCCATCTATTGTTGAATTTGGCGGCGATGATTCAATAGACTATAATTTATCGGTAGTTCAGAGATAACGCTATACTTTCAAATGCAAATATCAGTTGCAATCCATAGTTACAACTCTAGACAAGTTCAAGAAATCAATGAGTAACAAGACAATCTCATAGAAACAGAACCTGCCAAACTGGTGTAGATCTGGTGTCTTTCGCAGGAGACTCGACACCACCGACTTCCTTTGAGGAGCTCTCACTTTGAGTGGAGATATAAAAGAGCAATTCACCCAAAGCAGCCATGGCAAACCTCCTGACCTTTTCCTGTTTATCCCTGAGACCATCTGCCAGTGCCCCAACAATCCCTGAGTTGGCCAATTCAGAATCAATGAACGTGGAGTGCCGAATCAATAAACCAACAACAGATACCAGTTGAACTCGTAACAATGAAGCCTTTGATAACCTTAACATCTTGACAAGCACCAGCATTATTGGCCCATTGGTTATTATATTAGCAGCATCAACATTACTACTCAAAATTTCCAAGTATCTAATGGCATTTTGCTTCTCGGAAAGAGGAGAATTCCCATTTAGACTAGCTATGATTCGACTGGTAAGTGTGGCCATTTGCTCAGAAGATAGCTTCACAAAATCAGAGGCATGCCAAGCATCAAAGGGAACCATGGGCAGCGTTTCTGAAGCTTTGTCGCCTTTCCTGCTAGGCATGACTGGCCTCACCGAAAGATCAGAGGGATGCCAGAGAGCTTGCGAAAGGAGTGAAGATGACTTTGAAGGATCTGAATCCACCACTATATTGGAGCCCACTTTACGCTGATCCTTCCTTTGGATGCCTACACATGGGGGAGTAGCAGGCACTTCATTACTGCTGGACCCAAATTCATCTTCTTGGGTTTTCAAGCCATCTGTAACAATCATGTTGGTTTCATTTGGGTTATCTGTTTTGAGCATTTCTTGAACGTTTTCTTCACTTAGATCACTGTCTCTGTATATAGAAGATGGGTTTTGTACAGGGAGCTTCACGTCACGGATAGGAGTTTTGCAAACCAGGTTATCCAAACTAACAGATTCATCATTTCCATTTTCCTCATTGTTCTCACCAAAATCAAGCTCCATATCGGTGTTTTCGAGTTTCACTTCATTCTCGTTCTCAGAGGCTTTAGATAAAGGCCTCCTATAGTTTTCATTCTCATTCTCCTTCTGCAAATTTGTCTTAACAATCCTCGAGAGCCTAACAAGATTAACACCCTTTGTAGGAGTTGAACACACGTTCTCATTCTCCTCAACAGCAATGCCAGAAGCTTTTGTTTGGGCTTTCTTTGGACCAGAAGCATTTTTTCCTGGTGTTTCAAATCCTTTGGCAGCCCCCACGGAGTTCTCATCTCGTCTAAGAATGCCACTAGCATCTCTCTCCTGATTCCTAGGAGGTGTGATCCGTGAAGAAGGTCTCTCTCCATTTCTTTCAGATAGACAAGACCTAGCAAAAAGGCGAACCATATCATCAAAAGCGGGCTGAGGAGCCAGGGGCACCATGCTAAATTTTGTTCTCCAAAAGTCATGCTCACAAAGCTCAGGCCACTGGATTCTTTCAACAGGGTCCTTCACAAGCAAGCGGTTGATCAAATTGGCAAATGATCTGGTTGGGTTGTCTGGGAGAGGTGGTGTTGGGTCTGATAGGATAGATTTAACCAGGTGGGTAAACTCGCTACCAACAAAGGGAGGCCTCCCAGCATAGCATTCATACAAGACACAACCAAGAGCCCAGAAATCTGATGCAAAAGAATGCACACCCCCTTCTTGGAATAATTCAGGAGCCATGTAACATGGGGTACCACGTTTTGCTTGAGGCAACTGAGGAAAATGCAAAAGAGAGAAATTGTGATCAATTCAAGGAAGGCTAAGCTGTCTCATAGTTATAATAGTCCGAATCAGCAATAGCTCAGCAATGTTGAAACCCCAAAATATAATCATTTGGTGGTAAATATTCCAATAAAAGAACCAGCAAAATAAGAATCACTATGGCAGGAAGCATAGAGATCTTTTGGCACTGACCCAATACATTATCATGTGGGACCCCCAAACATCAATTAAAAGTGTCACCTAATGGTGTCCAAATAATCTTATTCTGTCAAAATGTACTCTCTATAAAGCTACGATATCTGCAAATTCTGTTAAATGGAGCTTTAGAAAAAGCTACCATATCTATCATTCTTTTTGTTTTTTAAGAAGCTATAGAGCATGAAGAGGATGTACTTTCACAAAATTTTACTGTGTGGATTTTCCAAAGAGCGCATCATGCATGGCTGTGGATTTACCATGGACTTTTGATTGAACTCATTTTTCTAAAAAAAAAAAAGTAGAAGAAGAAAAGAAGGATTATTTTCACTAGACTGCATGCTTAGTTGCTTACAAAAGTTAAACACGGCACACATTTGTTTATTGGCAGCTGAAAAAAAGCAAATAGCTCAAGTTGAGAATACAAACCTGAGAGACAGAACTTTTAGATATATCACTTAATCTTCTTGCCAATCCAAAATCACATAGCTGAAACGGAGATAACCCCAAGTCAATAAAGGTCAGAATTAAAGACACCATCGCCCAATAAGCACATACAAGTAAAAGGAATATTCAAGCAAATAGAGACACAACAGCAGGAATTACCTTCATGCATCCATTCTCATCCAGTAGGATGTTTGATGGCTTCAAATCACAATATATAACTCCTCTCGAGTGTAGAAACCTGAAAAAGGGAGATAGTCAAATGATAGTTAAAAATGCTAAACGGCATTGAGGTTACTAGGTTCAAGACTGATGAACAATGCACATTACTGCAGAGCTCGGACAACATCACGTGCGAGATCGTGTATAGAATCCTCTGGAAGGCAACCATCCTGCAACAACAAATTTGTAAACAAGGTGCCAGTCATACAAGTTTAGAGGGTGAATGATCTTCAATGTAATTCCTAATATAAATATATAGTAAAAATAAACTAAATACACAGTTAAGTACATTTGTTTAATTCATTTTGAATTCTCAGTAATGCCAAAAGAAGAAGAAAATGCTTTAAAATGTTCACCTGTCGTAGTAAAGCAAGAAGATCACCCCCAACACAATATTCCAATACCAACCACAGGTGTGCAGAAGTCTCATACCTATAATGCAGTAAGAATGCACAAAACAAATACAATATTCAGAAAGGAAAACAAGAAGAGAATCTAAATGATATTGCAACTTATTTTTACTTAAGATGTCAGGACATACCATGCATAGAATTTCAGTATATTTTGATGATCTAGAGAATGAAGAATCCGTACCTGCCCAAATGAACAAAAAATTGCTATGAAAGACATATTCAAGTTAATATACTAAAGTGAGATTTCTTAATATACTAAAGTGAAATCTCTTAGTAACTGAAGTGAGTCAAACCATTTTCGAAGATCCCTGGATTACATAGGCAGGTATGTCTATCCAATGTAACATAAATATGTATGTAGATGTAAAGACACATACACGCATTAGTAAATCACAGTCCAATATCAGATTGTGGTTATTGCAGGAATGAATAGAATGGGCATTATTTCCGAACATTAGAGGAAACTAAAAGGAAAACAAGTCTTTTCTGAGATGTGAGTTTTTCTCTCTCAACATTGTCAATAATTTCTCCGCAATAACATCTTCCCAAGGTAATACGATTGCGTACTTGAGCCTCATTCACTTGAATCAATGCTTACTGAGGGACTATGGAGACCAGTCCCAGCATTCCATTCTGATCTTTGCTACCCAAAAAGGCACACATGACTTCATACATATTGAAACCCAGCCCCATTTTCCCTGTGCACTTGGTTTCTCACTATGTGCACTATGGAATCCTACTCCTCTAGGAAAGAGGATAGGAAATCTTTCTCCCTAAAAGGCACATTTTGCTCCTGATACCTAGAAAAGTGTTCCTTATCCTCCTATCTTATGTTTTTTCCATGAGTATCCTTCAATTTTGCCCCTGCTTCCACCTCTATCACTGCAACCCACCACTCTCCAATTTCTAACTCACAGTAGTTTTTGTTATATAGGTTCTCAGTCATTTCAGCATATGTTGATTTCACCCAGTCCTCTATTTTGGGTGCTCATTATATGAAAATTATGGATAACCTTCTTGTGCTAGTAGATGTTGTAGTACTCATGTTGGACATTCAACTATGAATTACAGTCTACTACTTTAAAATGAATAAGTGAGACATGAATTGTAAAAGCATAGATCATGTAAAAAATTAAGCAAATTCAATGGATTATGGTTTAACTTTCTTTGATAGAAATAAAATGCATATCAGGTTTGTAAGTAAGCAAATTCAATGGAACAGCTTAGCAAACTTTGACACAAATAAAATGGATATTGGGTTTTAAAACCACCATACATTTGAGACACTTCCCTTGATATCGGCTATTCGAAAGAAAAAAAAATGCCTTCTATTTGGACATGAATTTGACCAAAAAATAAAATAAAACTCAGTGATGGTTTTCAACAGTCTACAATTAGATTGGACTTGTTCCTGATATATGAATTCAAATCATTGCTCTGAATGAAAGCTAAACATATGAAAATCATTATGATACAGTTTGGTGGGGTATAAAGGAAACAAAAACAAAAGATCGTATTGCCAATAAAAAGAATAAATTGAGCCATAACTACTAGAAAAAAAAAAAAACTCCAGTGCTCTTAGAGGTAAGAAACAAAGATGAAGTCAACCTAATATTTACACTCGGTACTAAACCTTTGAGCAAGGAAATCAGCCAAAAAAAATATAAATGAATGCAATTACAACAAATAGAAAAAGCCACTGTATAATTTCTAGAGAGGAGCAACTTACCTCTTGCAAAACCTTGTTTCTCTGCGACTTATCAACACTCTTTATCGCATAATACTCGATAGATTTCTTCTTCCTCCCTTTATAAACAGTCTGATTAACCAGATTCAGACAAAAGTCATATGATCAATCAAACCAAGCATAAAACCTTCTATACCAAGTAAACCATTTAATCCACAAAACCCTCAAAATCCATCTCACATAATTAAAAAAAAAAAGTGAAAACAAATAATTACAGAGAATTTTCCTCTCCCAATGGCCTCATAAACGTGATACTGATTCATTTCAAACAGCGTTAATGGTGATAATAATCAGACTGCAAATGGAAAATATATCTTGTACAGAACAGAGAAATGTGGAAAAATCGGATACAAGAGAATGAGTGAGAACGGATTGGAATCGGAAGGTGGAAAAACGGGGATCTGAGATAAGTGATAAAATCAATGAACTAAGAGAGAGAGAGAGAGAGGAGAGAGAGAGTGAAAAGGGGGTTAGAGAGAGAAAAGAGGGACGACGATGGGCGGGAGAATGAGCTGAAATTGAAAGAATAAGGAAAACAAAATGACCAAATTAGGACTAACGTTTTAATTGAAGGACGATCTTATCCTCGGTGAGATTTGAAATAAGACGAAGTTGCCCTTTTATAACGCGCTAGTATGAAACGGACATTTTTATTCTTTAAACTTTTTAAGTTTGAAATAGAGAAATCAACCGGGCAGTTCTCATCCAATCACTCATGTCAGGTCGTTGTTTTGGATATGTTTCGAATCTATAATTGAAAAAAAAATTGAAACATAAATTAAGTAAATTTAAAATAGAGATTTATGAGGTGGGGATTTATATGAAAAAATGATGTGATATAAGCTTTGAAAAAAATGATAAGATATATAGGGGTGGGTTTTAGGGGAGAGCCGAGCTAGGTCCCATACCATCCTAGAGTTAGTTCGCTCACGATTGATTTCCCCCCGGTTCAAAGATCGCTAAGTTTTAAAAAACATAAGAGTGTGCTTGCCCCTCTAAAGCATTAGTATTTTAAAAGCACTCTTTTTAATGTTATTGCATTCGTATTCAATTAGTTCGCTATTTTTTAAAAGGAAAATGGTTTGATAGGGTTACAACCCTAACAAAATAAGTAAAGGCTCACCTTATAACTCATCAAAAATTACAATTCAAGCATTGGAAAACCTTTGCAATGAACATTATGGTTGAAAAAGCAAACTAGGATTTCAAGCTATGAAAATAGTATATATTATAATAAATTATCTAGACCATCCATTTTGCCCTAAAAATAAAAATTAAAAGATCCACATATGTGTACCATTTTTTTAATTTAAAATTTTATTTTCGATATTAAAATTTGATTTTAGAGCCATCATAATGATTTTTGTCCCCCAAAGTGCTTTCCAGACGAGGATTTAAAGTGAGACTTTATTTTGTTTTCATAAAGTTTAGGCCTTACAAAAACCTCATCTTTTTTAAAAATGATAAAAATGCCCATAATTCATATTTTGAAGGTCCAAATTTTATCAAAATTCGATAGGTATCATTGAGGGCCAAAAATACTAAGAACAATTGCGGACAAAAAAACTTAGGAATTTCAAAATTAGAAGTTTTTCTCATGAAGGAACAACATTCGATTTTCAAATTCTAAAGTTTTTGCTCAAAGGCAATACAAAGTTCAACAATATAAAAACAACGTCAGATTTTTAGATTCCGATATTTGTCGAACAACTTCGGATTTTAAAAACAAATCTGAAGGTTTTCTTTTTAAGGAATGCCACTTTTAATGGACTTTCAAGGGTAGGGGCAAGAGAGAGGGAGAAATGGGCAACCCACCTTTCTCTCTCAAGGTCGAATCAATCTGCAAATCGCACATATAACCAGGAAACTTGAGTTCATCTCAACCCATCTCTCTAGTTATGTGCGACATTCTTTCGTGCTCCTTTTTATGCTCTTATAATAGTTTTCATCGTATATACATATTTCATTATGGTATTTTATATAATGAGCTCATTTACTTTTAGTACAATGAAGTCGCAATTATTCATAACCATCCAATGTAAAGTCCTATAGCTTAGGTATGTACAAAGTTTGAAAAAATGTATTTTGAAGGTTGTACTTGATCAATGAAGTAAATACAAATATCTAATGGTTGATCGTGACCGCTTTGTACTAAAAGTAAATGGATTCCTCATATATTTTTTCTTTTGTTATTTCATGCCTCTACTTTTTAATCATTAGACTTTGATCTTTAGTGAGATGATCATTAGACTTGATCTTCAATGACAATGGTTTCCATGAAAATGTCATCGTGTTAATGGTATTTTCTCACTCTTCCCCCAAATTACCAAAAGCTTTTCAATAAATGTTTCTCGTTGCAAAAAACGATTGGAGTTTTGAAGGGTTGTAACTGAGATGGTGCACCCTCCTGCAGTCATTGGTGCACGTAGCTGAAGCTAGGGCTCAATTTTATAGTGGGATTTAGGGAATAATAGACGTGTTACGACAAAGTTTAAAGTTTAAACATCTCATCCTCTCAGGAAAATGATGAAGCATTTGGCATTGTGTATTTCTAATGATCTAATTTCTCATGGACCTGAGCTCTTGTAATCCACTTGAAACCGCTTCGAACCTCCCGATAAGTAGAGTTGCAGTTGCGAAGTGGTCGGTTCAGACCCGACTTGAAAGGGTCCACCTGGAACCATCGGGTCTATGACAACTGATTGGGTAACCGTCAAAGTGATGAGCATCTCTAATTTTTTTCAACAGATAACATTTTTGTGCTGGAAACCCGTATGATAACATCATTGTCTATTTTAACTCCTATTCATGGAATTTAAAACTCCACAAAGAGTGCAAATCGAGCACATCTGCATACATGCCTCAGAGATTAAAATGATTGATTGAAGGGTTTTCTAATGTTAAAAAGTATCTCATGACAAATTTTGGAGATTTCACCTTACTTCTATAGAATAAAATCGATATCTTATAGAAACTTTTTTCATATTGTATAAAAATATATACACGGAGTCAAGTTGGGTTCATCTAAGGTCCATACTTCTAAAGGCAAATCTAATCTCGGGCACAAACCCGATTATCAGGCCTGATAATGAGTGTCAAAGCAAGCCTTTTAATGAGTATCTAAGCAATTCCATTTGTTATGGTTAGTGTTGCCACCTACATATATTTGAATGGGGAATAAAAGACATTCTGGTCGACTATGTCAGCTCACTCACACAATTTAAGTGTGTTCTCTTTCCAAAATCTGTCTCCAATGTAGATGTTGGATCTAAATATAGCAGGTAGATAATCCATACAATCATGATCATTAATATGAAAAATTGTAAATTTAAAATCTTGATAGTAGACATTTTCATTTGTGTGTTTGGACCATTTGAGAACTGTTCAGCAAAAAAACGTGAAAACATAATGAACCAGCAAAAAACCGGTCCGGATCGGTGAATCGGCAATCCAGATCACTATTTTACTATAGAGAATCAATGTTTTAATATGCGGAACCGGTGGAACTGCCGGTTTCCTTCTGACACGGCCGTTTTCCTATATATACAGATAATCAGAAAGGGTGACTGATTCCCGGATTGGACTGGGCGATTCTCTTAGCCCGCGCTCCCGAGTTTTCAAGCACTGGTTCATCATTATATTATCTACCATAGTTTATGTTGCGAGTCTTCTAGAATTGATTTTAGGGCTCCCAGCCCAACCCCAAGTTTTTAAACATTGGTTTATTATGTTATTTTCCATTGTTTAAGCTGCATATGGAGAGCCTTCTAGAATTGATTTTTAGGGCGGAACCCTAACACGCAAGATGGCAAGGTGAGTACCAAGTGATTTGCATTCTGTTTGAAACGGGTAAGGGGTCCTTTTTCTCAAGGTGTAAGGATCCTTTTTATCTCAACTGTTCTTGCTAGGGTTTCAAACTAAGTTCCAATTCTCTTAATTGATTGATCATTGTTCACATTGTGTATATGCTGAGAGATGCAATGGTTTCAGATGTGTTTACCCAGAAAAAAAAAAAACCATTTTTGTCATTTTGATTAGTACATCCATGCAATGTTTAGCATTGTTATCGAACTCTCATATTTTATTTTTATTTAAATTGTTGGGTATATATAATAGAGAACATAATTCCCATTTGAATTACCATTTTCAAAAGAAGAAAGAAAATATTTTTTTAGTATTTAGAACAATAAAAGTACAAATATTTAGAAGTACAATTCTCAATGAAAATATATACTCTGATAATCTGCAGTCAGCAAAATAGAACACTGAGGGTGTGTTCCCCTCTTCCACAAAGTTTGGAGGCCATTTTAGCACGGAAGGGGTGGCTTGCATAAAACAATGTCGAAAGACATTTTCGCATGCTCATGGAAGCTGTGGATTCAATCTTGTAGCTTCCACGAGGGTGCAACAAACCTGTCAGTCCATTTGATGAAAATTGGGTTTCCCACTACTCAAAAGTTCCACCAAATCACTCATATATATATATATATATATATATATATATATATATATATAGATATAACACTGATAGATATTACATTTGTAGTAATACTCATATATAAAGAGAAAAAGATAAACTTCGCTCTATATCTTTTTCTCTCTAGATCCATAAGGCCAGAGATCTGAATTTTATCTTAGTGATCCAATGGGTACTCTATCTTCAATATCAAACTATCCCTATCCCTCCACCCTTAACGTAAGAAATTTTGCATCGATTAAATTGACATAGAAGAACTATCTTTTATGGGAAACCAAATACTATCATTAATTGAGAGAAAATAACTTTTGGAAAAGATAATTGTGCCCTACACTAATTTGTGGTGGTTCTTTTTATTATATATATAATGATGATACAATGGTATAATATATACTTTCCTATCTTGTTAAAAACAATATACACTTTCCTATCTTGTTTCATTCTCCTCTCAAAAGGAAATGCCAATACACTTTCTTAGCTTGTAACAACACACGATCCTATCTTGTTTGAATGGAAAACAATTGACTATTTCATATGTTGGTGATGCAAATATTGATGTTGTATCTGAAAAATTTAATATTTCTAATGTTCTTTTGGTGCCAAATGAAAAATAATGTATTATATGTTAGCCAGTTTACAAAATATTTTCCTTGTATTTTTTGGTTCTCATCAAATAATTTTTGGATTAAGAAAATGAGCACAAAGAGAACAACTAGCGAGAGTAGAAATGACGGACTTTTTGTACTTGAGGATGTGAATGAAGCTTTATTTTCTAATCGAAATAAGAGAGCATCAAAAGATGTGTAGCATTAAGGACTCAGATATCCTCAAAATAAAGTAGTTCGTTACTTATAATATTTACAGTTGATTAATGTTGATGCATGGAATAGATATCATTATATTTGTGCTAGTTGTCAGATAGGAAAAAGTTGTAAACTCCCGTTTAATAATACTGATAAGACCTCTACATAACCTTTTTTTAAGATCTATTCAGATTTATGGGGTCTTGCTCTAGTTTTATCTAATTAGAGTTATTTCTTTTGGATGATTACACTCGATTTTATTAGATTTATCATTTGAAAATAAAATCTGAATTTTTCTCTGCATTTGTAAAATTTCATTGCATGGTTGAAAGAACATTTGAGAAAATAATTCGAATTTTTCAATGTGATGGAGGTGGTGAGATTACTAAGAAATAATTCACTGTTCATCTTACTGAGAATAGAATTATGCAACAGATATCATGTCCGATAACCCCTGAACAAAATGAAATAGCTAAAAGGAAATATAGAAATATTGTAGAATTGGGTTTTACAATGATGTTTCATGTCAGAATTCCTAAACGCTTTTAGGTTGAAGCTTTCAATACAACAGTCTTTCTAATAAACGTGTTTCCCTCGATCAATTTACAAATGAATTCACCATATTTTTTGTTGTTTGTTCGCCTATCAGACTATTCTTCACTCTGGATTTTTTATTGTCAGTGTTTTTTGTACATTCGAGGCTATGTTATAGATAAATTTTGTCTTCATTCTCTTCCATGTGTATTTTTTGGATACAGTATTTAGCATAAAGGTTGCAGATGTCTGCATCCACCCACATGGCGAGTTTATATCCCGAGACATGGTATATTTGATGAAAATATATATCATTAAGCTAATCTCAATTCTTTGTTTGATAGTGCTCAGGTTCAAGGGGAGTTATCCACTTATGCATAATTGTTAGAGTATTATGAATCTGATATACATACTCCCTCCTCTTCTGATTCATCATCTCCACATAAACCACCGATATGGGACTCCCTTGACATATCTAGTCCCTCAGGTCCAGCTTTGCCGGTAACCAATGATAGCTCTCAAACTTCTCTTAAAGTAGAAGATGTCACTACCGCAACATCAATCCAAGATGTCCAGGATGATGCAACACACAATCACGATGTTTAAAATATTGCAAGAATCCATTCAATCTAATTTTTTACTAGCTTATGAGCATTCTCGTCATTATATGCTCACAAGATCTCAAGATGGTACTCGAAGACCTCGAATTCTCCCATATATGTCAACAATCTCAAGTGCTCCTACTTTTGAAGCTATCATTTCTGAACCTAAAACCATTAAGTCTGCCTTTGGTCATCCGAGTTGGCATTGTGCAATGAAAGATTAAATGGAAGCCCTACATGTTAACTCAACTTGGGAGCTAGTTCCACATCTTCCAAGTATGAATATTGTTAGTTCTCGTTAGGTCCCCAAGTTAAAGTATGATAGTAGTCTCTCTATACTTAATGCCAAACTAGTTGCTAAATGATACAATCAGGTTGTTGAAATTGATTTATTTAAAATATTCAATCATGTTATTAAGCCTGCTAGTATTCAGATTATGCTCACCATAGCTATTATGCACCATTGGCCCATCAAACAGCTTGGAGTGAAAAATGCTTTCCTACATGGTTTTATTAAAGAACCTGTATTTATGGAACAACCTCATGGATTTGTGAGCTCAAAATATCCAAATCATATTTGTAAATTAAAAAGAGCTTTATATGGTCTCAAGCAAGCACCACGTGCCTAGTTTGATCGATTTAGTGCCTATTTATTATCATTTGGGTTTTATTGCAGCGTAGTTGATTCATCTCTATTTGTTTCTCGAACTACTCAAGGTATTAGTATTATTCTCCTTTATGTTGACGATATTATTGTTACTAATGATAATTCAGATATTCTAGATTAGTTCATCTTCCAACTTGGAAGGGAATTTGTAATGAAAGATCTTGGACATTTTCACTACTTTCTTGGCATCGTATCTTATTTTTCAGGGGAAATTTTTTTCTCACAAAGCAAATATGCCCGAGATCTTATTGATCTTGCTCAGATGTTTAGTGCCAAACCTATTTCAACACCAATGGCAATGAAGAATAATATTCATGAGAATTACGATATATTTTCTAATCCATTTCTTTATCGGAGCATTATTGGTGCACTCCAATACATTACTATTAGCACGATTGGACATTTCCCATAATATTAATACAATATGTCAATTTATGCATGCCCTACAATTTGCACATTTTTAGGAAATTAGGCACATCTTTCGTTATCTTAATAGTACATAGTCCTGTGGTATAAGATTTTTATCTGTTAGTTCATTTGAGTTATTTGCTTTCTCTGAGACCGACTGGGCTGGGTGTCCAAATACTTGCCGTTCAACTACGGGTTTCTACACCTATCTTGGTTCCAACCGCATGTCTTGGAGTGCTAAGAAATAATCGACTGTAGCTCGTTCAAGTGCTGAAGCAGAATATTGGTCCATGGCCTCCACAACTGCAGAATTGACATGGCTTTCTTTTATTCTCTGTGATATTGGCGTGCTACTTCCTTAGCCACCAACAATTTTTTATACCAATATTAGTACTCTCTACATGACAGTTAATCCTGTTTTCCAAGCTCGGACAAAGCGTATTGAGTTAGACTATCATTTTGTGCGTGAAAAGGTTGCTATTGGTTTATTTATCACTTGATTTGTTTCCTCTCGCATCTTCACCAAAACCTTTACCGTGAGATATTTTTCAAGATCTTTACTTCAAACAAGGGCTTCAAATGCCTCTTGAGCCGAGTTTAAGGGGGCAATAGAAATAAAATTCAAACGACATGGAAAATGTATTGCTACAAGATAGGAAAGTGTATTGGTCTTTCTTTTTGAGAGGAGAATGAAACAAGATAGGAAAGTATATATTGTTTATAACAAGATAGAAAAGTGTGCATTATACCATTGTATCACCACTATAGATATAATGAAATGTCCCACCACAAATTAGTGTGAGGCACAATTATCTTTTCCAAAAGTTCCTCGGTCTGGGGATTGCAAGTCTGTGATAAAGCATGGAAATTAAGTGTCCATCAAAACAATCCTTCCAAGATTTACTGCATTGATGGATACTTTGTAATTGAGACTTTTGACATTACAACTAGAAAATGGGCAGTGACTGCAAATTTTATACCAGGGTATATAGAAGGCGAGTTCGGATTCAAACTGATAGAGGCCGGCGGGAATCTCTATATGCTTTTGAGAAAGCCGAGTAGTGATGATATTTATATCTTCTTATTTGATCTTAGTAAGATTGATTGTGGCGAGATAACGCGCTTTACTGTTGATTGTGTGAAGGGACGGTTGTTGCTGCTTGGCTCTAGTCTTGCTCTGCGGATGCTTCATATGTTCCTTCCTCTCTGCAAGTCTCTAAGATTAACAAAGTGGTTATGCCTCTATATGATTCTGTCCATACCATTTGGCTGGATCCAGCTTGAAATCGAAATTTGAAATTGAACCTGCTTCTTTCATTTATTTGCTATTCCAAGATTTCAAAGTTGTAAGTCAGTGCTCCCAGATTTGCCCAAGTCCACTCGGACTCAGGTCGAAGAGAGTTCCATGGATCAACTCACCCTTGTTAAAAACTTAGAAAAAATCATAAATGTTGTTAAAAATCACTAATATATGATTTTGAAAGACACTTTTATATGGCGTTTTTATGATGATTGGGGCATTTTTTTTTTATGACGTGCTCCAAATTTTTGTACTTTCTCTTTTTTATATTTTATGAAATATTTCAAAGCATAAATGAAAAATTTCAATATCCGTCTTTTGTATACCCTTTTCATCTTTTTGCAGTTTTAATGATTGTTATTACATATTCAGTTTTTGTCATTTTCTGATAATTTTTAACAAAATTTTGCATTTTTTAGAAGTCTATGGGTATTTTTTGTCCTTGTAATCAGCTCGGGAAAGGGCTGAGTCCAAGGCCCAGGCTGAGTTTCAAAAATATTCTCATTGGTTGGTTGTTGATCAACGATATCCTAATTTGGCTCTAGAAAGGCTCGAGTCCAAGACCCGATCCAAGTTTAAACAACATTCTAATTAGTTGCTTGCTGACTAAAGATATCCTAGTTTAGGAAATGAACTCAATTTTGGTATAGAGAAATACAAGGTTTACAACCTAGTTTAGGAAATGAACTCAATTTAGGTATAGAGAAATACAAGGTTTACAACCTAGTTTAGGAAATGAACTCAATTTAGGTATAGAGAAATACAAGGTTTACAACATAAATTAACAATGAAATGCAATGACAAGAGTATCATAAATGGGAAAGGTTTCTATACTTTCAAAATAGTATAGAAGATCTATGCTTCCTTTTATATATGAGAAAAAATTTATATAAGGATCCAACCTTATAATGTAGAACTATGGGTGCACCTCAAAAATCCATTGGAAAAGGTAGTTTTAATGTTGAAAAACCTTTTGATTGATATATGACCATGAAAAATAAAAAGATATGACCATGAAAAATAAAAAAAATTTAAGTCTAAAAAATAGTGCATTTTACAATATATTATCTACACCATCTATTTTCAATATTTTCATATGTTTATAGATCTACTTGATTTTAATTATTTTAAACTTTTATAATTAAAAATAAAATAAAATTTGAGGTAATCCTAAAAATATCGTACATCAAAATTATATACCATGATAAAATTTGAAGGTGCTCCTTACCTCTACCAACTACACCCATTTTTTAAATCAGTTACAAGTTATATGGATTTCTCTCTCTTTTTTTTTTCCTGAGAATATTTGTTTTACAATTGTTTTGGCGCGCTCGCTATTGAGAAACGTGGACCCCTATAATTTCGACGCCCAAAATTTCAGCGTTAATCTCATGAAATGAAATCAAAGGAATGAAAAACTAAATAATCTAATCGTAAGCTTCAGAATCTCGTTTTCTCAGGGGCACAGTTCTCTCTAAGCTACATTCTGGTACGATTAGGGTTCCATTTTGGGTAGTGTCCTCGCCGATAGTTTTTCATTGTTCACGAACCCATCAAGGAATAAAGCTAAAATGTGGTATGATCAGGCCCTCTACATTTTTCATAAAAAAATTTCAGGGCATGGTGTAATTTTTTTAATGAAACTCTATAAAAAAATTTCAGGGCATTGTTATGGTCTAATTTTTTAATGAATCTCTCTCTCTCTC